CTTATTATCTTTCCATAATTTCTTATAAATTATATCTATGTTTCGATACAAAGGGTTTCTTGGACCCAGGGGATGGTTCAAGCATTAACCAGGCCTGCCTCCCCCGTACTTCAGGACTTGGGCATGTTGAAATGCTCTAGAACCTTGGCTTTCACCATGACCTTTACAAAGCAGCTAAGCCTGCCCACAAACAGGCATCTAGGGCTTTGAAAGGCTGTAATGAGAATGGATGCGCTCCAGCAGTTGGCAAACACTGTTGACACATTAAATGTCACTGCTGCCTCTGTTTGGTTTTAAATTGAAAAATTGCTAGCATTATAAAAAGCTCACAGACTTTGGCCTAAAGAAGAAAAACCCCTTTTTTTTTTCTCTGCTCTTCCTCCATCAATTACTTTCCTAAACAACAGCCAACCTCCTCTGGCGCCCCAGCCCCCATTCCCACTCATACACCAGTGAACATCTGAAGCCCATGAAGGTTAGCGAGCTGAAGTTTCCAGAACTCTCACTGGTAAGGGAGAGTGTGACATCAGTACTGACTCAAAACAGGTCTAACCCAACTCTCATGTCCATCTTCCCAAGATCCTCAAAGCATCCTCCTCCCTTTCTTCTTGATCACATGGCCTCAGCTTTTCTGAGACCACAATCTTAGACCTAGGAAAAAGCTTTTCATTGGTGCTTTTATTTCCTGATTTGGTTCAGGACAGGTTTTTTTGGTTGGTTCGTTGGTTGGTTGGTTGGTTTGGTTTGTTTGTCTGTTGTTGTTTTGGTTTTTGTTTTCTTGCATGATTTTTGTCAAGGAAATTAATCCAGAAAGATCGCTATTTTTTTTGGTGGTGTTCAGCCAACTCCTTCCTGCTGGCACACTGCACACATACAGTTAGGACACTGTACCCTCCTACACAAGTGCAAGCATGTGGACACCTGCATGGGGTGATCTGAGAGGAAGCGCCCTCCTATTCCATTTGCTAACATTTAGGTCAGATGTAGGCAGGGTCTTTAATATTTCATGAAGTGACTCTCATCCAACAGGTTTGAGAGCAGGAGACTGCCAAGAACTCCAAGGCTCATCGTGGCAGACTTGCTGGGGCTAGAGAGCTTGAATTTAAGAGTGGCTAACTTAAGAGTGGCTAACTTGATCCTACCTCACTGACCTCTGTTTAGTTAGGCTTTAATCCTGGAAGGGGAAAGAAAGAAAGGAAGAAAGGAAGAAAAGAAGAAGGAGGGAAGGAAGGAAGGAAGGAAGGAAGGAAGGAAGGAAGGAAGAAAGAAAGAAAGAAGGAAAGAAAGAAAGAAAGAAAGAAAGAAAGAAAGAAAGAAAGAAAGAAAGAAAGAAGGAAAGAAAGAAGGAAAGAAAGAAAGCCAAACAAAAGAGTCTGGTTGTTAATACAAAGAATCAAGAACGTCTTCATCCATTTGTAGTACTATAACAAAACACTTGCGACTGGGAAATTTATGAAGAACAGAAATTGATTTTCTTAGAGTTACAGAGTCTGATAAGTACTAGGTTCAAGGCACTAGAATCTGGTGTGGCCAGGCTCCTGCACCATCATATGCTAGAAGGTGGCAGAACAAAGCAAGAGGGGGAAAGGGGCTGGACTCGACACTATATGAAGGCACCAGGGCCATTCTTCCTTCAGAAAGCAGTTCTGAAGGTCTTTCCTCTTAAAGTGAGGTAAAATGTCAATGTGGGTTTTTATGGGAACAATGATGCCCTCCCCCAGTAGGCCCATCTTCTCCAGCTTTGCCAACTCTGGACCTCTCTACTCCCTGCTCTTCAATGACAGACTTTGTGGCGACAACATGGAGCAGTCTGAAGAACCCTGCCCTGGTCATACTAGCTCTACTGTGCTTCAGCAAGACACTGACTCTTTTTTTTTTTTTTGGAAGGGGGGTGGTTGTTTTGAGACATGGTTTCTTTGTGTAGCCTTGGCTCACCTGGTACTTGTTCTGTAGACCAGACTGTCCTCGAACTCACAGAGATCCACCTCCTTCTGCCTCCCAAGTGCTGGGATGAAAGGCGCACACCACTACTGCCTGGCAAGACACTTATTCTTGTGATGAACAGTTCTGTCATCTAATGCGTACGCCATAGAACTCATCAAGGGTAAATGAAAAGCAGGTGCAGAGGTGCCATAGCACCTGCCAAACATCGGCGCCTTTCCCTTGTCCCTGATTATGTGACTGCGTACTTGCCACTCAGAAACGCTGCCGTTATACTGAGGGGAGGGCTCCAGCAGTACAAATGTCTACCAGATTAAATTCTCTGTGTGCGCATCTGTGAGCAGCATGCACATGCATGAGGGCAGGTGTGTATGTTCCGATGTGTGCGTGTGTGAATATGTGCGGGTGACGTGCCAGAAGTCAACCCCAGATCTCAGCCATCTTTTCATCAGATACCATCTCCCTGGTCTGTCAGATGGGTCTTTCACCTCTCCTCTAGCCCGGGACTCACTGATTTGACTAAGATGGCCAGCCACAACCTGCCTGCCTCTGCCTCCCCAGTTCTGGGGTGACAGTTGTGCATCCCTATGCTCAACTTTTAAATTATTGATTTGTTTGTGTCTATGTGTGTGTGTGTGCTCGTGTGTGCATGTGTGTGTGGGGGGGGTGGGTGACACAGCATGTATGTTGAAGTCAGAGAAAAACCCTGTGAAGCTGGTTCTCTCCTTCCACTTTACAAGGGTTCTAGGAATGGAACTTGGGTCGCCAGGCTTGCAAGGCAATTGCTAAGTGAGCCATCTGCCTGATGATGGCCCTGAAAAGATGAATTCTAATGGTGGATTTCAGGTTTTGGAAAAAAGCCCAATAAGAGATGAGGCAATGGATTTGCAGGAGATAAGAAAATTTATAGCAGGACCTGAGGAGGCTCAAGAGGGAAAGAGCTGGAGAGAATGGAATCAGTAAGTAAAAGGGGGAGGGCGGTGGACCTTGAACAACTTCCTTTGTCACTCTTTTTGTGTAGTTAATTTAGGGTTAGCAGACTCCCAATATATCCTTTGTCCCCAAATACTGACAATGTCTTTCTTTCCCCTTATGGGTGAGGCCCTTCTCCTCACCCATAACTCACCTTGCACCTTTGTCTCTGGTATTTCACTCCCTCCTAATTCTTCCCACCCTGAACCACTAACTCACAGCTGCCCTGCCTGAGTAGATACCATGGCATCTTGGTGCCAAGACAGTGCATAAAAAAAAATTATTAGAGACAGGCCCACCACCAGGATGTGAGAGGCAGGCAGAAACAGACATAAGGTCCCAGTCAAGCAAGCCATCTCCATAAGAACGTGTCTCTGATGATGAAGGAGGCAGACAGGAAGTGCTGTGGCTTCCCAGCAGCCCTGTGGGATTGTCCTTGGAGCCTCTTTTTGTTCCAAAGCAAATCCCAACACCAGGTACAAAAGGCAAGGAATCTAGGCTTTCTTCTAGCCTTCATCTCTTCATCCCCTCAGGGTTAGCATTTTTGGAAGAGCTGGAGCATGTAGGAGATAAAAATTTAAGTCCATAAAAATTTGGCTTCTTCATCCTAAAATTTATGCTCATCAGAACTTTGGTTCACAACACAGTTTGAAAAGGAAGTGAAGGCACTTTGGCCGTCCATTTCTGCCAGTACTTGTCACAGTGTACCTCTGATGTTAAGAGCCATGACACTGTCCAGCACTTTACCATTTAACTCCAAGGACAGATATGATACATCAGCATGATTCTCAAAGAACAGCAGTGTCCTCACAAAGACCCTTAGAGAGGCTCTATCCCAGTGTCCCTGTTTGGGGATGAGCTAGCCAGGTTTGTCCACACTTATGAATGGACTATGAATCTTCTACACTAGCAAAATGTTCTTTACTGGGAAATGCAGCCAGGCTAAATGCACATGGTCAGACCCAAGCTTCCCTACGTGGCCTCCAAGGGCATTGTCCATCTTACCACACCTTCCTTCACTTAAAGACTCCATATCATTTGCAGCCACAGTGCCTTTGCACAGGTGGCTTTCATAAGGATGTGCTATTTCTCCTCCACCTAAGTATCTTGAGGCTTCTTAATCAGTTATGGCTTAGCATAGCTCTTCCTGCCTTCTGAAACTTAAATCTGACCACGAACAAGAATATGATGGGCTACAGAACAAGGCAGGCCGGGGGTCAAATCTCTGTCCATTCCTGAGTCCAAGCCTTGCATCCTGTCCTACAATACGGCAATGATACAACAGCAAACTTTCAGGACTGGTCTAGCCTGTTACAGGAGCTGACACATGGCGCAACCTCTTCTACTGTTTTCTGATAGTCTCCACTTTGCCCTTTCATCTTAGGCTGACATAGATGGCTCTATGCTTTATTTAATTGAAATTAATGTACATTAAACTGTACCCATTTATTTAAACACATAGTGCGACAAGTAGTGACAAATACAAAACACCTGTGAATATGGGCCACTTCTATTATTCTTCAGAGTTTTCCTAGTACCCTGATACAAGGGAACCACGCATCACTTCTTACTGCTATATGGCTTATAGTGTCTCCTCCTAGAGCTTCATGTAAACGCACTTATATGCATGCACATTCTTCTGTATCTGGCTCCATTCACTCAGTAAAATGCTTTGAGGGTCTTTGCCTGTATCATTACAGCTACATTTTCTTTTTTGAGACAGGGTCTCAAATAGCCCAGGCTAGCCTCAAACTCACTATGCAGTCAAGGATGATTCTGAATTCCGGATCATCTAGCTGTCCTTCCCCAGGGCTGGGATTACGGGCACAAACCATGCTGCCTGGTTTGTGCAGTGCTGGGAACCAAAGCTACACAAATACTCTACCCACGGAGCTGTATCCCAAGCCCTCTCATCACTATATTTTATCTTTGTATTATGACTTAACTGACTCCTCCACTAGATTAGGAGGCCTTCAAATTACTTTTTAACTCCTTGGTCCTGCATTGCAGTCTTGCCACCTGTCCACTCCATGAAGGCATCACTCACAATCCGCCCCCCCCCCCCAACCCAACCCCCAGGCACTTACAGAAGCCAGTCTACCGCCACCAGCAGACTGATGTCCTCTGTCGGCAGGCCCACGGCGGTGAGAATGAGGAGCATGGTGACCAACCCTGCACTGGGAATACTGGCTGCGCCGATGCTCGCAAGGGTGGCTGTGAGGCTGCAAGGACAGAGAAATCCAGGTCACAGGAAGACAGAGAGTCTTGGCAACCTTAGAGATATGTACATACAATCTTCCAATTTTCCTACAGCCATCAGAAGTCCTTCCTTTCTTTCTCCAGGGAAGAAAGAAATGTAAACTACTAATACCCAGGAACTGAGCTCAACAATGATGGACACTTATAAATTCGTGGATTAGGGTGGCAGCCCCATTGTGATATACCAAATTAGTCTAACGTACGCAGGGCTAAGGCAGTTGACGTTCTAAAAGCAGTCATGGAAAGATTAAAGATGAAGGAGTTAGTCACCCTCTCCCCTCCTGTGGGAACACAACTGCATTCACTTCCGTTTATGCCTCCGTGTGTCGGTGGGTGCCACAGTTCGCTGGACTACGTGGCAAAAGTCTGAGGAGGTCCTTGCCAATGTTAACATGAGAACTCAGAACAGGAAATATGCAGAACCAGTGAAGTGGACATCAGGGGAAGCAATTAACATATTCCAAAAGACAGTCAGTTTCACTTGCCTGGACATTTCTCCCTAGGCTGGAAAACACATTATTCATAAAGAGGGTGCCACGTAATGATAACGGAATAAAAAAAAAAAAAAAAAAAAAACTTCTCATGCGGTTCTTCATCAACTTTTCAAGGAACACCAGGAGCACACCTGCCGCAAATTTGAACTCTTTCCCCAGAGTTCAAAGTTTAAGCATCCTGTCTATATACCAGAGGGCTCCTGGGGCATAAGTGGCAGTGACTTTTCCATCTTTGTACATGTTGTTTCATAGAGGCAATCACTTAATTTTTTAACTGCTTGTGTGTATGTATGGGTGCAAGCGTACATGTTATACATGTAGAGGTCAGAGGACAACCTTGTATGTCATCTTCAGGTACGCCATCCACCTCCTTTGAGGCAGGTTTTTAGAACTTAACATCTAGCCACTGTGTCCCAGGTTATCTGCCTGTCTTCCAGTTCCAATATTAGCATTAAACACACCTGCCCCTGCGCCTGGTATTTTATGTGGGTTTTGGACTCTAACTCAGGTCCTCAAGTTCGTCAGGCAAACCATCTCTTCGGACCTGGTGCTGTCACTTCTAAATAGAACGTTGCTTCTGGAATTAGGGTTCCCCATGTGATTTTGCATGTGCTGAAAAAAAATGAGGTTTGCTTGCTTTGTAGTTAAGACATTACAGTGTTTCTGGAATGGGCACTCAGGCACCAAACTATAGGCTCTCAGAAGGTTTTAACCAAGTCGGTCCGTCAGTGTGGCCCAGCCTAGTATCCCAATACCTGTAACTGAGAGCTTGAAGATCCCTGTAACTTCAGTGGACTGGCATGCTTGTTTCATTTTGTCACCCTGTTCAGGTATATTACATGCCTGGGTGTGATCTACAGAGCATGCCTGTGTCCTTTCCCTGTCACACCAGCAGGGAGCTATGTTGTGTTTTAGAGAACTCCATGATCAAGCCCATCTAAGGTGGCAGATAGAGCATGTAGAAACTTTTTGAGCTTAAACAACCTAGGTTAAAATCCTAGCTCTACCATTTGTCAGCCACGTGCACGACCTTGGGCAACTGTTTCTCTTTGTACCTCGACTTCCTCGTCTGTGCAAAGGATAAATGAGGGAATTTTTTTCATGTGGTGGTCAGCAGCTTTTAGGAGCCAGTAAGCACAAAGGCACTTAAGAGAGATTGGGCACATTGCAACCCCAAAGCCAAGTAAACCGCCATTCTTCTCAGGAACTCAGAGACAAAGTGAGAAAGTTGTGGGAGTGAAACTTCCCTAAAGCCCCAGACAGCTGGGACTCCTCATCCTTTCCCCAGTAGGGACAGGACAGAAGGGAAGGAGGGATTCCCAGGTCCCAGTCATCCTTCGCCTTGCTGTTTGATTTTCAGCATGGGTTGCTTTGGTCATGAGTCACTTATAAGTACTGTGGCCATTTTAATTGAACTGGCTTTTGGTTCTGTGAGACAAATATATATAATTTCATATATATATATATATATATATATATATATATATGAAATTCTTGTTGGGAGTCAAATTTAACAACAACTTTGTCCTCCTACGGACAGTGTTATCTTGAGCATTCTCGGTCTGCCCCTGGTCCTTTGATCTGTTATGCTTTGTCTAGTATTCCACTCCCCTGGATGGCTTCTCTAGAGGCAAGTTCCTGGAGGCTGTGCCAAGTTCCATCAAAGCAGGACCTCACAGTAACCATGCAAGGTACGTAAACATGTCCTTTCACGATGAGACAATCAGGAATTGGATGGGTGGGGTAACTTAGGGTCACACAGATTCAAAATGGTCTTCTGGGATTTGAACACTCCTCTGCTTGATTCTGCTACATGCTAGCTCCTGGAAGTTATATGACTTAATAATTATACAGAAAGTTCTTGGTCACTGCTCTCCCAACATAAGAGAGAAGAGAAGTTGAGGGATTTGCACAATTGTGAAACATGAAGCTAAATTTGGCTAGTTTTCCCCCGAATACATTGTAGGCAGAGAACTACACATATACCATGCAGGGACCTGTAGAGGCAGACCTTCAGATGTATACAATTAAGAAGGATTTGACTAAACTTGCCCAGAGGCCAAGATTTAAACAAATATGGCCAATCTTCTCCTTCGCTCAGTGAAAGTTCCCAACACTAGCATTGTTAATATAAAATAAATTCCAAGTAGATAGAATTATGTAATGCCAGTAAAATCCAAGTCACTTAGTCACTGCTCAAATTCTAATCCCATAATATGCACTGGAGGGTAAGCCTATTGCTGTCAAGGCCAAGAATGAAAGAACATAAAGCCATCATTGCTTGACCAAAGGTTTTATTAAGCCAAGAAGCCCTTTTCACCCAAGAGTTTTGAAGCATGGGAAGTTGGAAGTCTCACGTGATATCTTTTAGGACAAGATTCATGTTTGACACCCTGATCTCAAGCAAGTTTTTCATTGTGACTAACCTGTGGTACTCATTAGGTCACAGTCACTTTTTCATTTCATATGATGGGATTCACGTTGTATCTTACGCATGTCATTTATAGTAACAATTCCAATAGCTCCCATCTATTGAGATGCAACATGCATGATGCTCTCAACCCCCGAGACTCTGGGATTGCTGTCTTCATAATGTAGATGAGGAGATGGAGGTTCTACAGCACAAGGTGTTTGTAAAGGTCAGATAAATAAACATACAAAGGCAGCTCAACAGCATGATAGCGGAGACCCACATGTAAGTGGCCTGTGTTCAAGTCCTACTTATAGACCACTTACAGACATGCTCTTGGGCAAGAATTTTTTTCTTTATTTGTGCCTTATTTTCACCAACTGAGATATATAGAACCCAATATCCATTTTCTAAAGATACTTCGAAGGCCACAAATTAAGATCCTCAGTAAACAAAAGACTGTATCACAATTCTGGAACCTGAATTTTAGCCATCCTCTAGATGTCTGGACTCTCTGAGCTTCAGTTTCCTCATCATTCAGATGAAGTGGTTTCGTAAGGCATTATTTATATTTCCAAATCACATGTTAAACCTGGAGCAGTTTTATTTTCTTTGTTTTCTTACTTAGTTGTTGAGTCAAGCTCTGGTGTGTATGGAATGTTCATTAAAGCCATCTGGAATGGCTATGAGGAAGGAACTTGTAACCCAGCAAAAATAGCCCTGAGCTGGCTAAAAGGCTCCCAGATAGACGCATGAGGCACGGCTCTGACGTGGCAGTTCCTTTGGGGTATCAACCCATAAAACACTGAAAATTCCAGTCTCCTGGGCCGGTTGTAAGTATGGTATCCCAATAACCTCAGTATGTAGAGAAATCAGAAACAAAGGAACTGAATCTTTTACAAATGGCCCTAAGACCACTAAAGCCTCCTAGAGAATGAGCTAGTCCATGAGCCATAGGACAGACACCAGCTGTCTCCAGAGTTTCTAAAGTAGAGACGGAACATGCTGTTAAGGGTTTGAAGGCAGGAAAAGGCCACTATATGAATCTGGACACAAAGGATATGGCTTCTCCATGTGCAATGGAGATAAGAGCAACAAAAGTTCTATTCTAACAGCTTCCTTTGCGTTAAAGTCAGGAAGGAGAGTATGGGGTGGAAAAGGGGTGGCTAAGGAGCCAAGATGTGACACCTGCCTATGGTATCCACAACCCTGAAGACTAGGTCTCATATATAAGCACCCCTAGGCTCATCTCATTGTTCTGTGAAATGGTGACAATGGATATCCTTCCTTTTCAGATTGCTGGGAAGTGAACTGCTGAGGTAAACTATGAAGGATGCCGCGTCAGGGGCACCACAGGACTGGACTTGTTCTCATTCTAGAAGCTGAAAGTTATTTCCATGTCAACCTAATCTTTTCTCTGAATGAATCAGCAGGGCTGTGGTTGTTACAGTTCTTCAGAATTTTCTTTTGCCTCCAAGTACATTGATTACACAAAATGTGATCCATCTATCCCTTGCATTTACTGATCTCATAGAATCTGAGAGAGAAAGGAAATGTGATTCGTAACATCCCAAAAGTTGTGACTTTAAAAGTCTTAAAGGGTCAGGTAGTGGTAGTAGGTGACAAGGCCAGGTCTGGGTGGTAAGGGGCAGGACAACCGGTAAACGGAAAACACCTGTCTTAAAAGACACTAACATTCTAATTATTTTACAGCATATTACAAAGCAAACAGCAATGCTCTGAGCTTGCTTCAGTCCACCAACTGCCAATTCACAGTCCCGGGTTCTAAATACCTTCCTCATTTGTAGGACCAGGAGGTAGTTCACTGTTTCGCTGTTATTGTTTGGATTTCTACTTTGGTTAAACCCAGGAACTGCCTTCTCGTTTAACAGAAGCTCCTAGTTGGAGTAGATGTGACGAAACTAAAATGATGTCGTGGTATGGTGTCAGCACAGCACTGAATGGTTTGAAGGCTGAAGCTTTCAAGGGCTTTACCTACAGATAAGATCTCGGTTTACGGAGAAGCAACTCATTTGAGATGACTTCTCAGGACAATGTTCTCAATTAAAAACTAGTGAACACAGTAAATGAAAGTTCTAGAGAGAGCAGAAATGTGTGCTCCTTATTTACACTAAAATAGTCTATGTGGCACTGATGAATCTCAGTAGTTCGTCATGTCTACCGTCGTGCCTTGGAATACTGAAAGGAGTATTTTTTTTCTTTTTTTTTAATTTTATTTTTCTTATTAGTTACATTTTGTTAACTCTATGTCCCAGCTGTATCCCACTCCCTCATTCCCTCCCCAACCTCACACTCCCTCCCTGGTCTTCTGCCTGCCCCTTTCCAAGTCCACTGATAGGGGAGGACCTCCTCCCCTTTCATTTGACCCTGTTTTATCAGGTGTCTTCAGGGCTGGCTGCAAAGTCCTTCTCTGTAGCCTAACAGGACTGCTCCTCCCCTGGGGTGGGGTGGGGAGGTCAAAGAGCCTGCCCTTGAGATCCTGTTAGAAATAGTCCTTGTTCCCCTTACTTTGGGAAACTACTTGGTTACTGAGCTAACACGGGCCACATCTGAGCAGAAGTTCTAGGTTATATCCATAGATGGTCCTTGGTTGAGTATCAGTCTCAGAAAAGACCCTGTGCCTGGATATATTTGGTCCTTGTAGAACTCCTATCCTTTCCATATCATACTAACTCCCCTTCTTTCATATGATTCCCTGCACTCTGCCGAGGGTTTGGTTATGAGTCTTAGTATCTGCTTTGAAACACTGCTAGTTAGAGTCTTTCAGATGCCTTTTGCGGTAGACTCCTGTCATACGTTCAATGCACATCCCATTTGCCTTTCTAAATGAGGATTGATCATCTTTGCCCGTGTCTGCTTTCTTGATTATCTTCTTTAGGTGTGTAGATTTCATGATGTTTATCATATCTTGTAGTTCTATATAAGTGAGTATATACCATGTTTGTCTTTCTTGAAAGGAGTATTTTTAAAGGTTAATTTTTTTATGTGTGCATACACTACATGGATGGAGATCAAAGGACAACTTAAGTTGGTTGTCTCTTTCCATTATGTAGGGCCACAGGACTGAAATCTGGAGGCAAATGCCATTATCCACTGAGCTATCTGCCATGCCCAAGAATGGAACATATTTTAATGACAGAATAATTGGACCCAGAATCAGTAAATGTCACCCCAGCCACATCCGTGCAAGCTCACAAGTAGCAGTATGGCCTTGGACAAACGGCCATATTTTTAAGCTTGATTTACCTTGTGTGTTGAATGAGCATAGAAATAATTGTATGGCCAATTCAGTGGGAATATTAGCAGTCAAATGGTATCTGGGCTCTGACATGGGTAGGCATGTACAATGCACACAGATGGGACTGAGCCTCTTCCTTTCCCTATCACCATCTTTTCCTTCTGAAGTCGGCCAGTAATTCCTTCACTGCGTGTTCACAGGGGCTGACAGTCAAGCAGCCTCCATCAAGGGAACTCGGTGCAGAATGGGAATGGGGTCGATGGATGCTTCTCCGTTCCCTCTGCACGCACTTCGCTCACCTGACAGTCACAATCTGACCTCCATCCAGGATGACCCCATTCATCTGGGCTATGAAGATGGCTGCCACAGCTTCGTAAAGGGCTGTGCCATCCATGTTAATGGTTGCTCCGACTGGAAGGACGAATCTGGTCACACGCTTGTCAATCCCTAGATTGTCTTCCAAGCAACGGAAGGTGACAGGCAAAGTTCCAGCACTGGGAGAGAGAGAGAGAGAGAGAGAGAGAGAGAGAGAGAGACTGCTTTAGAGGCAGGACAAAGCACAAACGAATGACACTGCAAATATTTCATTCTCTTTTTTTCTAACCAACGAGACATGCAAAAATAAATAGCAGTAACTAGGAGCAATTTTAATTAAGCTGCTGATAGGCAACAAAATATTTAGTTGGTTCTGGTTTCTCAGAGTTACTCAGTGCCTGCCAAGTTCTCTGTCCCTCAGTCCCTGTTTCCATTTTTGGGGTAAATCTTGAAGCACACCGATTGTACACACGAATTGGGCTGCAAAAAATTTATGTCAGCTGTCAACAGCAAAATAGAATGAAGAGTTTCATGCCAGAAATGCTATTCCAACAAAATGACCGCATGGACTGTATCTGGCCCCTGGGAATCGTCTTGAGTTGTGCTGATTAATTTGGAGAATGCTGGACAAACATGTTGTGTACCCTCTAGCATGACCCAAGCTTTGAACAATCCATTGGGGAGCTTGGCATACAGTCAAACTCCGAGATACATGACTTCCAGCCAATCCCAAGTCTCTACCACGCCAGGGTAAGAAATCCTGGGATCTAGAGCTAAAGACAGTGTGGAGTGACTTCACTCTCACTCCTCCCAGGCATGGCTGCTGATCCAACCATGGGGCCCACCCTTAGAGGCTAGAACATTTGACATGCTCCTTATCTTCTAGAGTAGGACATCTAATGGAACAAGGCTTCCCCATGGCCAAACTATTACATCCTTTTAAACAGTGGTGAGGAGGAGACTGGAGTTTAAATAATGCTTGAAGTCAAGCAAAGGATCCAAGCACTATGAGATTGTTTTGTGATTTGTCTTGGTTTGATCACTTTTGTCTTATTTAAGTGAACTGGAAAATTTCCAGCGTAGGTGCCATTGGAGGTATTTTCAAGCGTTAGTCAGTTATCCCCTCACTAGTTATAACTGGGGCATCAATCAGACTGGCCAAGTTCACAAACGTCTCAGTTTCTCAGAGTGGGAGAAAAAAACAGCTTAGAGATGTGCTGCTTCTAGGGCCTACTCAAGACCAATAAATCTGAAAGCTATAAAATAAGAAACACCCAAGTCCACCTCTTAAACTGATCCAGACAGAACATCCTTCGTGATTACAGGTGAGAGCTCTGAATGCTTCCTGCTGTTCTTAGGATAGAAAAAGTCAATTGACTGGGTGGTGTGTGTTGTGTTGGGGGGTGTGAGGGGGTGAGGTGTCATTTAAAAAAGCCTTATAAGCTCAAGTAAAAAATAAGGCTTTGTTCTCATTTGCATGCAGGAGATACCATGTTCCTGGCTTGCTGCCTTGGCTGTTTTGATTAGAAGTTGGTGTCCTTTTATTCCTCTCATCCCCTCTCCCCATTTCCTGGAACTTTTTCAAAGGGTTTCCTGGATACTACATGGTCTAAAATGGCTACCTAGTGATTGTGTGGCTGGGATTCTCAACTGTATGGCTCAAAGCATACTTCTGGGGTCACTAAATTATATTAGTTTTCCTTGTTGCATCTACCTTTCCAAAAATGTCATTAAGGGGTCCTTGGACAGAGAGACTGGAGAAATAGTGGTGAGGCATGAAAACAGCCCCTATTCTTCTACTGAGCCGTTTATATGTATGTCCTCCAAATTCACACAGACTCAATCAATCCCAACTAGGACATGAGAACTTTAATGCTCTCCCGTGCTGACAGACTGATTCTCTGGCATTGCTTTTTGGCTCCCATCTGAGCAGACCAATGTGGCTAATAACAATGTCCAACACTTGAGATTCTTCTTATGAAATGACACCTCCTGTCCCAGCGTGCACTGAGCCAGAGATCTGGGACACATTTCTTTCTGATACCAGTCTCTGTGTCCATCAAGAAGAGCCAGTCAACCACCCTCAGTGTTGCTATGGTTGTTATGGTGGCCATGCCTGGGGTTGTTTGGAACCTTTGGGATTTAAGGTTTAAGTGGATAGAAGTGATGGATGTTGAGGCTTTCAACATTTGGCTCTGTTTCTAGTCTCATCTCTGCTTCCTGATTGGCACCTTGAGAAGCCAACATCATGAGTTCTCAATGCTGTGAACAGACCTGTTTCAGTTTCCAGCCCTTCCTCTCCACCAGACAGTGTCTCCTTAAACCTTGAGCCAACGTAAACCTTTCTTCCTTAAGTTGTTTTTGCCAGCTGTTTTGTTACAGTGACATGTAAAGTAACTAGCCAGAGTCCTCCTTCAGTAACATGAGACAGAGTAGTATTTAATGGGCTGTTTCTAGGTGGTGTATTTTTCACCCTTGTGCACATTATGGCAAAGAAACCATGACTTGGTTCTTGGAATGTGAGTTTTGCCCTGTTGCCTTTTAAGAAAAGGAAACTCCACATCCAGGCAAAAGCCACATTTTAAGCAAAGACTAAAACCATCTTTTTCTCCCTATGAAATACAGAGTAAGAGATGGAATGAACGTTTAAGGCTTTATTTAGATAAGTTAAGCATTCAGTTTGGCTTAAATTCCAGGGTTTGCCATCCATATCCCTTTAGGATTTGTTTTGTCTTTTAAAGTTACTAATATACTGGTCTGGTTATTCAAAAGAAAAACATTTTTTGAAATAATTTAAAGAAAAATTTATAAGAGCATTAGGAAAATATAAAACATTATGTTATAATTGTGGATAGAAAAAAATATTTGAGTTTCTAAATAAAAAAGTATTCACAGCTTTGAATATATACAAATAAAAATATCTAGTTCAAAAATTATTTATTTTCAAGACAAATGTCTAAGAAGATTTCTTATCTGTAGCATGTGATATAAGAGTTAATAATTTATATACATAAACTAAAAGGATGAATACCCAACAAAGAAAAATGAACTGGCTTGCCTATGACTCAAGAGACAAGGGGATGGGCGAAAAAGGCAATAAGAAAAAAAAAAAGTTTTCCCTCATCTGTAATCAAATACATGCAAATTTGCTGAGTAGTTTCCCCACCGATAAGATTGAAATGCATCAAAGCAACACAGATACGGAATACCCAGCTCTGATGAGTGGGTGGGGAAGGACACAGTTGGTGGGAATATTGAATTCTGGTCTTTCTGAAATGTTAGCCAGTGATGTATTTCAAAACTGCCAGTGTGCAGCTCTTGGCTCTGATCCAGGACTAGAATGCATCCCGAGGGGAACATCAGAGAAGCTGGCAGAGATGTCTGTCAGGGCCTCATGTCACTGGCACACTTTAGATTTACACCCCTGGGCCTGGAGTTCAGCAGAGTACAGTATATTATTATTCCATTTTATTTTAGGTGTTTGAGCGCTTTGCCCACATGTATGTATGTACATGCCTGGTACCAATGGAAGCCAAAAGAGGGTGACGGACCCCCTGGAACTGGAGTTAGAGTTGGCTGGCAGTTGCCACTCAGGTGCTGGGAAGCAAACCCAGGTCCTTTACAAGAGCAGCAAGCGCTCTTAACTACTAAGTCACTTCTCCAGTCCCAAATTCCTATACATTGTAATGAAGTTCCCAAAACAGTAGCAAAGAGATGATTTTCATGGACTCTTGACCCACGGAAAATATAGAGCAGAATATATACATAGTAAGACGTAGAAGATTCATAGGTATAAAGATTAACTATAAGGTTACTGTGTACTGTCATTAGCTGAAGAAATGAATACTTATCTGGTGAGGTTCATTGTCTTCCTCAGAATTTTATTCACTATCTGAAATGCCTCACTAACGGGACATACCACATATATGATCAGATTAACAAAATAAAAGTAAATAAGGTTAGCTTTTATTGGGGTGGGGGAATGGTTTCCTTCTTTGAAGAGAAGGATTTCCATGAATACAGACTCTTATCTGCAGAGAATGTAAAGAGTCGGGAAGTAAAAGGGAAATCTTGAAGTGTTTCCCCTTCATCTCCGGAAAACAGGCTACTAAATCTAGTCCGAGGCACTGTACATATTTCAGCCTTTTCTGAAGGCTCACATTCTGTTCATATTGAATTTCGGCTGGCTTGCAATATGCAAATATAGTCTGGCTTCCCATGCGGCTGCAGGATCACTTGAGGAGACTCTGACAGCCTGCACAGAGGCCTAGGAACCTCCAGCCATGCAGCGCCACTGAGTGGGTCCTCATTAGCAGGACACGGTCCAAGCTCAGCAGCTGGACCTGGGGGCTTCCCACTGTGGGTTTTGCCCTTTGCTGGTCTCTGAGTTGCCTACCATTTCATGACCTCAGGCTCAGCTTTGGGACGCAAAGACATATATCAGAAGTAAAACACTGATTTCAGTCTGAAACAGTAAAACTCTTTGGTCTTCAAAAATTCTACAATTCTAGATGTATTTTTTTTTCCTTGTTTCTGTTGGCTTTTGGCTAACTTCTGTCCAACATTATATTGAAAAATTATTTTTGTTGCCTATATTTGAGGTCCTTATTGATTTTCTAGGCACTGGAAACAGAAAATGAAGGAGGAGCTGCCTTTCTATCAGGTCAAGTCATTTAAGCTGAATTTGAGGGGGGAGAAGTTAGGGCAAAATTGTTCACTGAAAGATTTATGTTAAAGTCAAAGAATTAGCTGGTTTCTGCTTGTTGGGGGAAAAAAATCACCGTTCACTCTGTGAAAGCTGTTTCTCCTGGTGTTGGTGAGACCGTTGAGCAGTTGTGCAGATGACCTGGGTTTAATCCTCAGGATCCACATCAGGCAGCACACAACTGCTTCTAACTCCCTCCTCCGGCCTTGGAGGACACATACATGCAGTCACTCACGCATACACAACATAAAAATAGACATATCTTTAGAAAAAAAAAAAACTTGGTTCTCCTACTTTTGGAAAATTATTGACCAAAACCTCTAAAGATGTTTTTCTTAAAAAAAAAAAAATCCAGCCACAGGTGATATGTTAGGTGAACAACATCATGCTACACCCTCTGGATAATATTAGTTCTTCACGTAACATGTTAGGCATGTGACCTCACGGCATGTGACCACCTAAACACTTAATATGAGGTCATGTTTCTAGTCCAGTTCCAGACCAGCCATGGGCTGATCAGAAGCTCCAGCAGTGCCCAGGAGAAGCAAAAGGTTCAAAGTGTTTACTTCTAGAAAAATATTTTCATAAGATGTGAAAGGTGTTCTCACTGAATTTAGGAAAGATCTGGGGGGGGGGGGGGAACAAGAAGTAGCAAAGGAACAAAAGCACCAACTCGGAGGAAGGTGGTTTCTTTTGTCCTCTACCTGGAAGCAGTTCCCAGGGCCGTGATCCAGGCTTGGAAAATACCAGCGAAAAAGGAGAATGGGTTTTTTCTGGTCACTACAAAGTAAATCAAGGGGAGGAAGATGCCCCCATGGATGATGAGGCCCACGATCACCGTGATCATGTACATCCCCAGTTGCCTAGCAACCACTTCTAAGTCCTTGATGGCGATGATCTTCCCACAGATCAGGCAGGCGATACCCAGCGGGGAGTACCTGAAAAACACAAAAGAAAACAATAGCTTTGAAGAGATCATTAAGGGGTTCAGGGCCTAAATCCCACCTGGGGAATTGCACCTGGAGGAAAACCCTTCCTCTTTTTATTTATTCATTTATTTCACAAGATCTAATACTTTGAATTGACCGGCTTAACTGTTTTATGGATCTAGTGACTCATGTTCTGGCGATTAAGTCCAAAGGCAAACTTTATTGCAAAGGTGAGTTTTATTTAGGAATAAAGGAGGCAGGCCTTGCTGTCTTTTAACTTTACCTGTCTGCAAGCACCGAGTTAAAGGCCAAGAGAGCTAAATTGTGTTCCTGGAATCTTTTTTGACATCCTTCCTCTTCAACTCCTTCCTAGAATTTAGGCATTAACTGGGACTTGGAAATGTCCATTGTTGTTAATCTTGGCAGTTGAGAAATATATTCAAAATGATGGAGACAGCAGGAATAAGAAAGGGGGGGAATCAAAGAGAGGGGGCTGCCAAAATTAAAGCGTCTGTGCCAAGGAGTACATCTAGAGAAGCGTGGTTTTGTGACTTTTAGGCCTGAAAGGCTGGCTCCTGCTCACTGTGTTTCAAGCACAGCAGCGAGGCCTGCACGCTCAGAGTCTCACTTACCCCTGCCACAGCCTTCAGGGCTGCACACCAGTATTATCACCCAGCAATTAAGGAAGCCGTCCTTTGGAAAAGTTCAGTCACTAGCCCAAGCCCAGAGCCAGGAGAACCGGGGCGTTTTGTGAGAGAGCGCAAGTGGAGGTTTCCCTTACCAAGCCAAACTTCTTCCCTTTTGTGCAGGATCCCAGTTCCTTGTAGCTAAGCAGTCACCACACACCAGTTTATCCCATACTGACATTTGCATGCTGTTGTTACCTTATAGAGGGACTTGGAAACTGTCCTGTTCTCACTTGTAGGAAAACTCTCTCATCTTGGTTTTATGTTTGGCTTGTCTGGGGACATTCTTCATTATAATTATATAATAATAATAACAGTTATTATTATCTAATGGAGGTGTTGCTGGGAATGAATTTGTTCACACTGTGATGGTGTCTGACTGAAATAAGACATTTGTAGGAAGACTGACACCTCATTAGCAATTATAGACAAGTTTGGTTTTTTTTTTTTTTTTTTTTTTTTTTTTTTTTTTTTTTTTTTTTTTTTAGAATAACTAAAGAGAAACTAAAATCCCCACAAAGAGCTCCCAACAGGGGGTCAGGAAAGAAAGGGTCCTTTCTTTCCTTGTTTCTTACTTTCCTCTTTCCTTCCATCATCCTTCCTTCTTCCCTTTCTTCCTTCCCTACATCCCTCCCTCCTTCCTTCTTTCCTTCCTTTCCTCCATCCCTACCTCCTTTCTTCCTTTCTTTCTACCTTCCTTCCTTCTCCATCCCTCCTTCCTTTCTTTCTTCCTTCCTCTCTCCTCCCTCCCTCTGTCCCTCCTTCTTTTCTTCCTTCCTACTCCCTCCCTCTGTCCCTCCATTCCCCCTCCCTCCTCCTCTCCCTTTCTTTTGGCAATCAGGCCTGTCCCCAGTCTTTTCCTAACCTAAATAAAGGCTATGGAGGGCAGATGAGATCCTGAAATGCAGAAAAGACAGATTTTGTCCAGCCTTTCCCTGGCTACAGGAAAGGATCTCATTTGGTAACATATTCTCATTTTTCAGATGTCGCCATCAAGGCTTAGAGAGGCTGATTCCAACATCACCAGGAAACCGTGAAGCTCAAACTTTCCCATGTGCATCTGTGTACACTGCTGAATTTCCCTCCCATCCTTCTCAACTTGATTCCTTCCTCTTGAAAGAATTTTAGGACAGCTTCTGTTTGAACATTTCTGGGTAGCAAGTCCTCTCCTGGTTCATGCCTTTTTATTCAAGCCTGAGCTAAAGAGACTTTCTAAACCTCTCACTGGCTACCCAGTGGTAGATGGTTTTATGAGCAAACCTTGATCACGAGGCGATTTTTTTTAATCTGAGGTAACAGCCTAATGTGTGGCTCTGCTCTTCCCCATGGAGCTTCCAGCCTGATCCTCACTTGCCTTTCCCCTAGGGTGCAAGCTGGCCTTGCTTGAGAACTGCTTCTACAGATATTAATAAGAGTGTTAAACAAGCCTTCTGTTACATCATTAAACCCTCATGTTTCTTGCCACTTGCTATTCTTCTGGTGTATCCCAAGTTCATAACATCTCATAAGTCAGCTACAGAGTCCCCGAGGCCAGTGCTTTGTCACTAAAATTGTAAAGAACTGAACAAAATGCACCTCCCTATAAAACCCAGAAGGGGGGGGGCTGGAGAGATGGCTCAGAGGTTAAGAGCACTGTCTGCTCTTCCAAAGGTCCTGAGTCAATTCCCAGCAACCACATGGTGGCTCATAACCATCTATAATGAGATCTGGTACCCTCTTCTGTACATGTACCCAGACATTGTATACATGATAAATAAATAAATCTTTAAAAAAAAAAAACCCAGAAGGATTTGTCTTCATGAGCTAAGAGATCAATCCTTTCCCAAACACCAATAACCCTTTAAGGCTATGCAGAGAAATATAGATAAGAGCTATTTAGGATGCTATTCAAATTTCTTTCATCCTCCCTCCAGGTCAAGTAATTGGTAGAATGGAGAAGACATGATTTCAAGGCACTTTGCCAAGGGATATCAGCTACAAACTCCCCCAGGGGGAGTACATTTGAGCCAGAGCCAGATGGACTAGAGGGAGGTTTACCCACAGGAGGGGTTTTGGCAGTGTGGGTGGGCACCAGCTCCCACTGCAGATAGCATTAGCTAAAATCCACAAAGTGAAGAACAAGAGCTGAGGAGTATGGAGTGCAGCAACCCTGGCTACTCCAAACACTTTGCCCACCCCTAACAGGATGACTGTTAATGCGGTATAAAAGAACCCTTTGTCATCACTTCTCTATACCCAACTTGAGCTGTATTCCCGGATTTCCATACCAATGAATGAGCTCCTTGGAGAGGAGATGCTGTGGGGAAGAATGGGCGAAATGCACAACGTCCAAGGTTACCGCTCAAAAGTCATGATGAAACAATTAAGACCACAATTAAGTACAGGTAGAGGCTTAAGGCTCCAACCAAGCATTCTGAAACCACGCGACACCCATTGTCGGATCCATTTCCAATTCAGAGAGACACAATCATTGGGACAGAAGAAGGGAATGTCTTCACATAAACCACGGGGGCCTGTATTCTCAGCTCTGTGCCCAGTATACAAGGTTGCTATTCACATATAGTCCATGTTTCATCTGTTCTAGCCTCTACCCATTGTGAACCTTGGCCCTCCTTTGTCAAAGGTGACCTTTGCAGGGCTGGTCTCCACTTCACAATCGCAACCTAACCCGCAGCATTCATTCTACCCAGAACCCCATCAAGGTCTGTTACCCATAACTAGTCCCCTCTCAGTGCCCCAAGCTACCTGCTATCACAGTAAGGGCCCTGGGCTCCCACAAACGGCTGGCACTAGGACTTCTATGTTTAAATATGTTCTCAGGTAATTCTGAGCTAACAGAAAGTTGATATTTCATGAACAAAATTATCACTTGCAAATGATGAAATGCAGATATTTAACCTTTGGAAACCATTTACCTTAGTTCTCATTTATGTAAGACTACTGAGGAGGTCATAACCCACTAATTTGGGGATTTCAGACCTGGTGTAGATAGTTAGACAGATACGTGAAGTGGAGCTGAGCCAACTCACCCTTTCAGTGCTGCCTATAATAGATAGGATAAAGAGACAAGCAGTTCACACAAGGTCTGGTTTTGCTATCCCCCAAGGCCTTCCTGTCACAAATCAATGAAATCTAACCCACCAGTGGCCCACAGAGCCCTGGAGGCTCTGACCCCTGCCTGCCTCTCCACTTTCACTCCTTCCTCCATTTTTAACCATTTTCACTGCAGCGGCTCTTGATCTTTGCTGTGACCCTCAACAGACTTTTGCTTCCTGCTTCCTTATGTTGGAATCTCCATCCAGCTTTTCACCTTGCTGTCAGGTCTTTACTGCTCTTGGATTCCACAAAGATCACCCTGGCCACTAAGGTCTCCTTCCTTCACTCTACCTCACAGCCCTGCGTTTGCGGTTCATGTTACTAACTGGATTTATATTTGTTTCCTTTTGGCTGTCTTCCCTTCCATTCTTTCACGAGAACATGAGGCCAGCGTAGGGAGAAACCCTCTATGGTATTCATCATTATACAACATCATTGTCAGTTTAGAAGGGGTTATCTATTTATAGAGTAAAAGAACAAATGGGTTTTTTGCTTTTCCAAACTGTAGTTAGATCCCTTCACCTTTAGGTCTGGTTGTCTCCTTCCTTTAAAATATTGTTTCGGCCAAGAGGCCCACTGAGTCAGCTGAATCCCCATCCTCAGTGTGTGGCTCTCCACCTCTGATCCCATTCCCCATGGTCTACCATCCCCAACTAGTATCTGGCCTCTCTGGCTTGGCTTCGACAAGAATCCTGCTAGGTCCTTAGCAGAATCCCTCTGACACTTGACGTGCCCGCATTCTGTTGGCTATAAATCCCACCTTCCCAGTATGTTTGGATCTGAGCCTAGCCCCTCTCCATTACTATAAAAACACATTGCTATGGTCCCTATACCCTTTGAGGCAGCCCTGTACAAAGCCTTCTTTCCTTGCTTTAGCAAGTAGCATTGAATGTTCTTTCCTTTGGTGGTACGGATGGTGGAGGGGCGGTAGTCAGGCAGTAGAAATGGAGGACAGAGACTTCTTTTTCTAATGGAGGAAGACTATGGGAAGTTTCGCTTCCTATTCAAGTTTTTCAGAGTTTGAAAAAGTTTTAAAGAATTTTTAAAAACCAAGGATATGAAACTTACAACAAAACTATGGGGTTTTCAGACTTCTTAAGGAATTAATACACACAGAGATGCAGAGGATATGGATTGGACTGATGGTGACAACGGTGGCAACAGAATAACTACTGGCCCTTTGGACAGTTCCAATGACTGGGGTCGCCATTTCACCTCTTTCTCACAGCAACCTCATGACATGGATTTTATAATTATTTTGTTTTACTAATCAGAATATTAGGATTTAAATGTGTCTAACTTGCTTAAGGTCACTTGTTCCCAGATTTCATTTACTTCAAACTCAGAAAGAAACCCAGTTAGGGACTGCTGGACAATATCTCTCTGCAGCACTGGGAAATTCAACCTCTGTGCTTAGTGCTATTATCTGGAAAATGGCTACTGAAAGCATCTATTTTTGTCAGGGATTATTTAATGAAGAAATGTGAACATGGAAAGTTACCAGATTAATTCTAAGCATATTGAAAAAATTTAGCATGTCTTTGTTATGACTTAATGATAATAATTTCTTTAATAAATTAGTTTAATAAAATAATAACTGAAGTCGAACACACTGCAAAATAAAATCATTCCAATTTACATTTTAATGACCGTAATTTTTAATCCAGACATGGAGGTGCACACCAGTGCTCAGGGGGAGAATCAAGTCAAGGTCATCCTTGGCTACACAGCAACTTTGAGCTAACATGGGCTATATGAGAGCCTATCTCAAAACAGTTTTTAAATGACACCGAGCAGACAGATTGTCTTAACCTCACCATGCTAGATTTTGCTATTTTTTACTATCCTTACCACTACATAAAGATGACGATGGTCTCAGCCTGGAGGGGCAGTGCTTAGTCATTTTACCCAGGAGCTTTCCACAGGCTTCTAATTATCAAATGGTGTGCTGATGAGGCGCCTAAAGAATGATAGGAATGGAGCTCTTGCCATAAAAGCCCCATCTGCCTTCCTGAATGCGGTAACAGAAACTTGTGAGGAATCCTTCTGCAGCCATGACTCACAGCGACCCCCCTGCCTCTCTCTGTCAGGGCACAGGGTGCTAAACCTTTAGGGGAGAAGGTTTCAACTTCCTAATCCACACCCTCCATTTCAATGCCTCCTCAGTTTTCCCTGAAGAACCTAGTTTCCTTCAAGGACACTGTATAAAGGGCAGGGGTGTGAGGGAAGGGGGGAAGGCATGTCACTCATGCCACCTGTGTCAGTCCCACCAGTAAGAACTGCATCTTTACCACAGGGATGTGCGGACCACTGGACACTCTAGGCAACATGGACACAAAGTACTGTTCAAGCCAGAGGCTGACGCTACTTTATGTGTCATTGCCTATGAGGCCCGCAGAAGACTAGGATGGACCCAAAGGATACGGCATTCCAATGTTAGCTTAACTCTTCACAAAATAAACATTCAACATTAGCATTGCTGAGGAAATGAAAATCCAGCACTGTAACAGAAGGGAACACAGTATTGTACCAACATCCCTTTCATCCCTTTTTATTTTACAAGTTCAATGAGGTGATGAGGCAACCATGCCAAGAGTAATATTTTGGTTATCATATTTAGCTGAAACCTCGAAGCCTCTCATTCCTAAAGCTTTAATGAGAATCAACTGCAAACACGTCACCACATTTGGACCTGTGGAGAGGATGTGAATTTCATTTAATTTTTGTATTACGAAATGCTGCTACTGATTTTTCTTTTTCTTCATTTTACTTTATTTTCTTAGCCATTTGATGAACTGAATGTATGCCCCACCCCTTATTGAAATGTTTAAACCCTAATACTGGCTGTGTAGAAGTAGGGCCTGTAGAGGTGATTAGGTAACATCCTGGTGAATGATACTGGTGTCTACTAAAGTTTGAATGGTTTTGTCCCACCCCCAAATTCCTGTGTGTTGAGTCATAACCTCAGTACAGTAGTATGGGAGATGAGCCACTTGGAGGTGAGCCCTCCTCAGTGTGATCAGCATTTTTACAGAGGAGCCTTGGTGAAGCCTGTTTGTTCCTTCATGGGAGGGCACAGAGGAAGAATCATCAGGCGCTCACCAGATAACAAATCTGCTGATGACATTCCAGCCTCCCAACCTGTGATTAAGAAATAATAATAATTCCTTTGTTTATAATTGTACCTAGCCTGCAGTATGTTGTTACAGCAGTGGAAAAAGACTAAAACGATGCTCTAGAAAAGAGACCCAGGATGCTTTGTGCCTCTTTTCCCCCTGCATTGTTTCTTTTACAACTCAGATGAACGTGCTAGAAGTTGATTATACAGACATCTTGATTTTAGACTTCCAGTCTCCTGGACTTGGGGAAATCTATGGGTATACAAGTCACTTAGTATATGTTACAGCAGCTTGGCTGGGATGGACGTGTGAAAATAAAAACCCATTGTGAAGCCGAAAGACACACAGAATTAGATTTGGCTCAGTGACTAGGAAGAGGAAGCCAAAGGGGAGGGAGGAGAATTTCCACCCCCTTCTCCATATCTTCCTGGTCTGCACCCACTCTTTTCATTCTCCGAGGTCCCCACTACAAGGCTTCGCCTGGCACCACTGCGATGATGTCAGAGTAAAAACACTTACCACATGATCATGATCACTAACTTCATTACGATCTCATTCAGAATGTTGAAGAACTCCACCATCAGCTTGGCCTGCTCCCCCATCTTCCCCATGGCGATGCCGAAGGCAATAAAGAACCCGATCAGACCTGTGGGTAACAACATTACTCAGAAGGACAAATGACAAAGCATGCACTTCCTTTCTCTAACACTTTAGCATGACTGATGTACAGGGCCAATTCTGCCTACCAGTCACCCTTGGATAAATTAGGAATTAGAAGAAAAAAAAAAAAACGCATTACATTTCACACTGAAAGTCCCCCTCGCCCCCCTTCACGCATCTTATAATTATTGCTTTTCTTGACATTTTTTCCCTTGAGCAGGCTGAACTCTAAGCAGTCCAGGTGTGAGATCCTTGAAGAGAACGAATTCATTTTCATTCCAAAATGAAAGGTGCTGTCTTCTATTTCTCCTCACTTAGCAAAGTGTGTGAGAACAGCTCCCACTATCACACGGATTAACAGAAAGGAGCCTGGCAGTACTTGGTGACTGTTCAGCAGACTTCAGAGGCACTACTAGAACAGCAGAAACTAACTAGTCTAGAAGGCCCCGGATGAAGGAATGTCCAGGCCATTTTGGTGTTGTTCTGAGGTACACTTCATCCCGGGGAATTCCCTCCAGCTGCACAGCAAAGGTGGAAGGAAGAAAAATGATGACATGGGAAATAAGAAATTCAAACTAGCTAGGAAGCCCCAATTAACCAACCTTTAAAATTCAACTTGTTATGCTCTCATTTATTAATCTTTTCAGGATGATAATAAAGACAGAATGTAGAGTTTACTGTTAGATTTTGTCAATACCTATCCTCTCATCTGTCTTCTCTCTTTTCTTGACATCCTAGTTCAACCTACATCAGCCTCCAGGGTCAATCCTAACCCAAGGCAGGAAGGATTTAAGGAGCTCACTCCCTACCCTCTTGGTGGCAGCCTTTCAATACACGCTGAAGCAACTCTAACACTAGACCCTAAGTCTTTTTCTTCATCACCTGTGTCTAAGGACCTTGTGATCTGCCCTTGTACCTTAGATCCTCAAAGACTAAGCCTGGTTTCTCTTTCCAGAAGATTCACTCCCAACCACTCCTACCCTCAACACCTCAGCTTAACACACTCAGAGACTGGGGCACATTATGTGGCTAACAGCAGTCTCAGTACTACTTGGGGACTGCCTAGATTTCCAATTGTTCACTGTGCACTCCAGGATCCTTTAACCACCCCTAGTCTTGGTCACCTAACTCTGACTACATATGTGGAGTCACAGTTATTCTCCTGACTACAGAGCATTGCTTGTCCATTTGGCCTGTTCTCTGATCCTGATGCACTGGCCATCTTCTAATCCCTCTCTTTCCATCCTCTTCCACACCCTACTCTACCTCCGTTTAGCAAGCCTGATTTCCAGTCTTTCCTTAGTCTAAATAGTTATGCCTGAGTATGGGCATTTATCAGCTAAACTACAGCATTATAATGTAATTCTCTTAGACATACATTCCTTCTCTCTGAACCTTTGACTTTATCTACCCTTTTGTTCTCATCCCCCAAAGCCACCCTCTTCTCTACATCAAACTAGTAACCACACTTGGTGGGGATCCCATCTCTCTTTCCAGCCCTTGTACTCAGACTGCTAATATCCAGAATTTAACATCTCTCCTCTTTAGCTCTTCACCAGAGGGCTTAATAAGTGATATCACAACGGAGTTATTGGACCAAGGAAGATGGTACAGAATGAACTAGTTTTACTGTAATATGGAAAATCAGGTCCCAGCTCTTCCTCCACCTTTCTCTCAGACCATGGAGGGCAGTTTGCTGGGTGTGATGACAAGGAATCTGTCTGTGAGTACTCAGGCTGAGAAGCCTGAGTATTACTCAGTTAATGCTATTTGATAATGTACAAGATCATAAGGTCCCAAAGAATTAGAGTGGAGTCTCCTCTCAGAGAGAGCAGACACTGGAGTTTCTGTGAGTTAAAAAATTTTGTTTTTCTAAAGGAGTAGTTGAAATTGATTTAAGCAATTGGAATTAAGGTGGAGATCAAGAATTGGTTTGGGGATTCATCTGTTTGGCTGGTTTTTGAGACCAGTCTTGATTTGTAGCTCAAGTTGGTCTTTGACTAATAATCCTCCTGTCTCAGCTTTCTGATTGCTGGAATCATAGGTGTGCTGTAGCTCTCCAGGTTTCTTAGGAGACACTTGTGTCATTAAAGAACTGTAAGGCCAAGCTAGGGCTGTACCTTCTGTATTGCAATGCTCAGTCTTGGGACTTTCCAAAGATTGAAGGGCAGAAATGCAGAAAAACAAAACAAAAACGAAGCCACCAACTCTTTGCTTCCTAGGCCATGGAAAGAACCTTATTTCAGCTGTGATTGGCACATGGGAAGTTTCTCAACAATCTAACTTCCCTTGGCTTCACAGTGCCTTGCTGTGTACTTGGATGGAACACAGGATTCCGCCTGCCATTTCCCTGGGTAAACATTGCCTAATTGAAATTGCTCACTGGAACAGGGGTGTTTCATTTGAACAAAGCCCTCTTAGATTTGGTCGTTGGGGTTGAGCGAGTTGTCAATATTTTGAAACTCCCTGCACAGCCAAAGGTCATGTGACTTTCTAGAACCCATCAAGATTCTGGAAAAGACTAGGATCCTTTGAACAATTCACTCCAAAGTGTCAGCCTGTTATATCTTTAGCCCTCTGAAGAAGAGGCTTGCTTTGTTGAGGAGGGTGAGATCTAAAGTTATAACCCACCAGAGGGGCCCTGGGGAGTGAGTGGAGAAGACCCTGAAATGGTTGTAGATAGCTCTTCGAAGGAGAAAGAGGCTGCTGGGTTATCTGCAAAGCCTCTTTCTCTGAGGGACTCCCACACTTCCTCCTCCTCCCTCCACCCACCTCTGGCCTCTCACTGATTACCAACTGTGTTTGTGGATCGCTTGTTGCCTAGCAATCCACTCAGCTTATCTCCTCCCTCACTCTCGCTTACTCCAACCTGTGTTCTCCCAGGCCAAAGAAAGATAGATCTGCTTCAGCCCTGCAGACACAGGGCTGCCCTGCTCTCTTCTGCTCCCTCTCCCTATAGCGTGGATGTCTATGGAGAACCATGGACGAAATAATCAAGCAGCGCTTCCAATCACATTCTGAACTTCAGCTACATATGAACCTTTTTAATTTAATTTAATTTAATTTAATTTAATTTGTTTTTATAAGAGCTCATTCACTTGGGTCATACATTTGCTACATTACTATTGTTTGCTATTGATCTAAAATTCAAGTTTATCTGATAACAGTTCAAGGAGACAAGGGCATCTGATCTCTCAGATGACAAAAGGGCAGGACCACCAAGCTCACCCATCCCTAAACAGTTCTCACCGGGGTCCTTAGAAACCTTGTTTGCAAGATCTTTCTTACAAATTCATATTTCTCCATTTCTTTTCAATTTTATAGGCAGACGACCTGTTTTTCTTGACACCATTAAACTGGCAAGTGATGGGAATGGGGTTGGATGGGCATCCCCCCAAAGGCCCTGAGGAGGTTGGGTGAATAGTAAGTCTGGGCAAATTTGGAGCCAATCTCATGAGGGTAACCTCACCCCCGCACTCTGTGAGATGTTTTCTGGTTGAGTTCCTCAACTCTTCATCTACTTTTAATTAATGATCAGAGCATGTCTGAACAGAACTCACTGCATGTGCTAGAGAGCTTAACATGCGACGAACTCATTTCATTTTTATAGCGGTCGGTCTACCAAACCCATGCCAATCCCATTTCAACTTTCAACTTTACTGCCGAGACTCAGAGAAGTGGAAGGAATTTCCCAGGGGTAGACAACCAGTGAGTGGCCCCTAAACCCACATCTGTGCAGCTGAAGAGAACCTCTGGATCGAATTCAGGAAAGGCACCAAGCTTGAGGAGGGAAGTCGCATGATACTCTGCAGAAGCCCCTTTTCCCCTAATTTAATACTATCCAATACTGGTAACTGCATTTGTTATAGACTAGAAGCGAGGATGGGACAACCAGTATGGTGCTCCTGCATAGAGACATCTCAATAAATAAAAGACAAAGATATTCCATTTCATTACATGGTTAGTTAGATGAGGTGACTTGACGACACTAGACAGAGGAATGTGCCCGGCAAATGTCAGCTCCTTCCTCTTTTCCCATCCCTGATCTCTGGCTGCCATGTCCCTTGAGGGACTCCCTTGGGTCCATCCTCCTGTCCCTCTTCCTTCATGGCTCAGCTCTCAGTCTCAGTGACCCTCATATTGTTCCCCAAAGAGAGCCTTCTGTGCCACCTAGAGGACAGTTTTTTGGTTTGCTGAGAAGAATGCTTGGAAGTCTGAGAAGGCAGCTATGAACTGCTGGCCACTGTCCCACCGAAAGACAGAGGTGATGGACAGCAACAACCAGTTTGCCTACCTAGGACGTTCATCCCATCCTTGAACTCCAGGCCCTTCTTGATAACGATCTTAGTTTCTTCCGGGGCCTCATTTATGGTCTCGTTCAACATCGAGATGACTGCTTTGGTTGTATTGGCCTCTTCGGACGGAGGTGACACCAGAACTTTCTTTGTCACTGTCTGAATCTAATGGAGCAAGCAGAGAAAAGAATAAAGGTGAGGTTTGGCCTAAAAGGTCAACAACAACCTAGTGATGGGAATGGGGTTGGATGAGCCTACCCGAAGGCCTTGAGGAGGTTGGGTGAATAGTAAGTCTGGGCAAATTTGGAGCCAATCTCGTGAGGGAAACCTCACTCCCAGGATGTTAACTACAACTACAAAATGCCAAAAAAAAATAAGGCTACAAAGACTGGACATTTTTACCCCCAAGACAGGGCTTCTCTATGCTTAGCAGAGTGTTATCTCATTGCGTACAAAGTAGGGTATAACTGCCCTACTAACAAGATGATTCAAATTTTTGTGAACTCCGTTTCTACTCTAAGTACCCTAAGCAGTACTGTTGCTAAAGCTGGGGAATGTGTGTCCGCTTTGATAACACCTCTGTGTTTGGGAGATGATGTCATGTGTCCAGTTTAGCTGCTCTTCCAAATTGTGAGATGCGGCCAGATGTCCCTTCTTCTAGACAGAGTCATCAGAAGCCTGTCCTAGGCCTTGGGACCTTTCTAAACCAGATTCTGTTGGGAATCTCCAGCTGGACATCAGAGGAGACAGCTGCCCACCGCCACCCTTGCAGGATCATGTGATTCATATGGAAGATGGGCAGTGTCTACTTCTTTCAGGCCGTGAGGACAACTAGCCCTTGCCTGACAGTCTCCAAGCATCTCTCGGGCTATTCCTTGACATCCGTGGAAGTGGGCCTAATTTTAAAGGTGTCAGTCATCCTGCATGCAAAAATTCGCAACCCAGCCTCAAAATGTACCACTTTCGAGGGCATTAAAATAGAAATATTCAAAATCCTAGAATGTCGGTGCTGGCACATCGGAGGTGACAGATGGCTGAACCTTGAAGAGATACAGAAGAGGATGCATGGAGAAGTCAACTGACTTTTCAGACGTCATAGCTCCTGGCAGAGCTGACACTTGAACTCAGATGGCCTGACCACCACTGAATTCTTCCTGTCATCTGCACCATATGCTAAGTTCTGCTGACTGGATCCTGCTGTGGCTGGGTCTGACAGTTGGCAATGCTAAACTCAGACAACAAGAGCGGGAGAGAAGGACGGGTGGGCTTCTGTAGGAGGAGGCAGGTGCCTTTCATGTTAGCCTGGCCATACACACTCGAGCAGGGTAAGAGGAGACTCAAGACTGGCTACACAAGCAGAAGATGACCCAAGCTCTGGGCAATAGAAGCATGAGGAGAAAACACGGAAGTGACCAGAAGGGAAGCTTCTGGATGCAGCTGCCAGGCTCTGGGCAACCAAGGTGGTGACTCATCCCCAGAGTGGTGAAGAAGCCAAAACTTGGACTAATCTGAAGTGACTATCATGGACCTATGTAAGTGGTGACAGCCAGGATCTGGTAGGAGGCTGAGAGATAACGAGCTTCACAGCTACTATGTCCTATAATTAACCCACGACCTGATTTCTAGCTAGACAATGAAGCCAGATTCAACATGAATCGTATATGACTCCAGAATCTAGCTTTCAGGCAGCACAGGAGTGGGTTTCAGTTGAAGCTGAGGAGATAGGGACACTGGCACACTGGCATGCTGGTACACTGGCCAAGAGCCATAGCTCATAGAGCCAGTCTGAACTGAACTACTCCATCTGAGTCCCTGCCACTAGTACTTGAGTCCAATTTACCAACATCCCAACTTACCTGAAAACTTGCAAATGTCCCCTAATTCACCTTCATGTCTTTCTTCCTATCAGCCTCCCACCCTCAGCCACTTGTAGCTTTGTCTCTGTCCAGACCTGTCACACTGGTTATTTTTCAGTAGAAAATCAGTCATTTCCCTGACCCAAGCTTTCGTAGAATAATAATCTGAGTTTGACCTAGGTCCACTAGTAACTGCTTGAGTTGAGTTCTGTCTTCGGTCTGTCTCTGGACCCTGTCAAGCCAGGACCACGGAAGGCTGCCTCTAATATGAACAAGTCTCCTTCCCCAAGACAGGCCATTCTAAAATCATCTCTTCCAGGCTACAGGGAACTCTAGTGACCCCTTCTCTGTCTCTGGCAATGTGTTACTCTGTAAGAATGGCATCCTCTCACCAAGGCCCTTGGAGTCAGGTTGAGACTTCCTACCCATTCTCGCTGTGACATAAAGGACTATACATTACCAGGGTCCTCCTGACCCTGGCCTTAGTTGGGAAAACAAAGGAAGGTTGCCATAGGAAGAGGTAGGATCATGGCAGCAACGGAACAGGACCTGATGTAGTCTTCAAACCCCTAGCATCCACTGGGCAAAGACCTTCATCAGCCAGGGAAATCCCCAAATGTGAATATGTCCAACACCACAGAATCTCCATCCAATAAGAGCACAGCAAAAGTTCTGAGTGCTTGGAGCTTTTTTTTCTGTCTTGCTTTCCAGACTAAAATAAAGGTATTTTGTCTATGAGCGGATGTAGCTAGGCACAGGAAACAGATCTAGACCTGTCCTTTCTGGAGGCTCTCATGCCTCCCTGCCTGTTTTCTCTTAGCTAATTTCCCAGGATCCATGGCTCCAAAACACCACTTGTATCTTCCACTCCAAAGGAAGCAATGCCATCCTCCTTGGTGAGGCTAGCAAGCACATGAGCAGGGGACCCCAGGAAGATTCCTGTCTCCATATTCTAGTCACTGTCCAGCCTACTCTTCCTGTCTGGAATGCTGTTGTTTAACACAAGTCCTCACTGAGTTAATTACACATATTTATGGTATATGGTAGAATATTTCCATACATGAATACATACATATGAGATACTTCCATACACGAGGACAGTGATAATGATCAAATCAAGGTGATGAGTAGATCTCTCATTTTGAGTATTTATCATTTCTTTACAAAATGACATTTAAAAAATCAGAAAGACCTATCCCAGCCTGGAGTGACGTGGGCTCAGTGAGGGTTGGCACTGCCTTTTGGGGGCTGGAAATCCAGACTTTCCCTTCTAAGCTGCCTATTTCATAACCTCACTCTTCAGTGGTTCCCTGAGAATAGCTGAAGGAGGCACATGGGCTCTGGTTTCGTCTTTTCATGAGCTAATGGGGACTGTGGTGTGTGCCAACCTAAGCTAACTCTGTGGACAGAAAATAGGGCAGTGAGTGTGGCCTTGGCTGGTGGCTGTGTTTTTACTTAGCAGAATTATCTGCTTTTAAAAGTTGTGTGTGTGTGTGTGTGTGTGTGTGTGTGTGCGCGCGCGCACATGCGCATCCAAGAGCATCTAGGGGCCAACAATTGATCAGCATCTGCCTTGATCTTTCCCTCCATTCTGTTTTGAGACAGGGTCTCCCAGAGAACCCAGATTGCAGATTCAGCTACAGTGTCTGGAAACCTAGGGATCTCCCTGTCTCTGTCCCCCCAATGGTAGGCTCATAGATGCATCCTGTTTTCACAATTAAAAAATAAATCATACTCAGTCCCCTGTTTCATCTTAAGGGTGGGTTACAGATTCTCATTTTGTAGAATAGACTAAGCCAGCATCCTTTTCTTTAAGGACTGCATAGAACTTTGAGATAATGTTGAGAACCGCTGGGCAATAGAGGCTTGTGAACAAGATTGCTCATGTGCAACTCAGAGACAGGAACAAAAAGGGAAAGGTGAATCTCAGAGTGACAACGTATCAAGGGTGCAGGCGACAGTGTATCTGGAAATCAAGACATCTGGCTTCAATCCTAGGGTTCCAATTCTAGGGTCCCTCCCCAGAGTACCTCATGAAACCCTTGAGCCTACAGAGATCAATACATGTTTGGAAGACTGCTAGTCAGAGTTGAGACTGTCTCTGATTACCGTGGATTAGGTGGAGGACCAGACAGAGGTGGCTTTGGGTTACCTGTTGGAAACAGGCTTGCACCAGGTTCTCCGGGAAGAGATTTCTAATGAGATCCAGGAAGGCGTCCAGGCTAGACACCTCATCATTCTTCTTTCCAGGTCCCAGCTGCTTCTTGAGTTTGGGATTGCCAGGGTGGATGGCCAGCACCAGAATGACCCCCAGCACAGCGGCAATGATGGTTGTGGACATGTAATACACCATGGCTCTCGTGCCTAGGCGGCCACTGGCTTTAGCATCCAGGCCTGACAGCCCTGTGTTTAAAAGAAATCCAGAAAGGTCAGCTTGCTCTTTTCTACTCATCTACTATCTCGACATATCTGTAACCCCACAGCTTCCTACCACTCAAGATATATTAGTGGTCAAATAGCACTCCCCCTACTAAACATGGGTTCAGTTCCACACCTTACATTTCTATTTTCTAAGAGTTATTAATTAATTTTGAGATTCTTGAGAACTTGGTGGCTCATAGATTACAGATGGCTGACCTCAACCCACCTGCCCAACACAATTACATATGTGAACATAACGTTGAAGAGTCCTCCATTTTTAACTCCAAACTAATGTCTCTTCCATTTTCACGACCTTAAGTTATCTTCTCCGAAGCGATGGCCTAGCTGAGGCCACTGTTTCACTTGTGTGTGAGTATTACTATTTATTGTCCTTATGTAGGAGAATCAAACGCTGGGGCATCAAGAGCATGCTCAAATGTCTTTAGATCACATTACTAGGGACTGAAACGGGGAGTCAGCATGGCCCTCCCATCACTCTGTGTTGACACGTGGTGGTTCTCGTGTCTAGCCTCATGCGGCTATCAGAGGGCACATGGAAGAAGCAGCTGTGAGTGGCAGGCAGCATGCGTATTGAGTTTTCCCTAGGGAAAACTCCGAGTCAGGTCATACGGACCTCAGCCTCCAGTGGGTTTTTCTCCAGTTGTTTCTTCAGTGTGCCCACTTCCTGGTTTCAGTTCCTACCTTAGCTGAACAGAGACAGAAGCCTTTTTTGGGGATCTTCCCTTTGCCATTCGGGGGAGGAAGTTGTGAATTTTCTCTGAAGTGATCTGACCCATGTATGACCTACTTCTTTCTATAACCCGAAGTCTAATTCTGGGCAAAGGAAGCCAGGTCTATCAGATTATCCTGCAAATGATCTTTTAATTAATTAATTAAGCAAAAACTACAATAAGAATGCATGCTATAACACATTAAGGATATCTTTCTATATTAAAACCTCAACTTTCATGTCTAGTTATTTAACCTCTTGTCAATTCATATCTTCCTATATGACCAAGTAAATAATAAAGGCACTGTACTTTTCACTTACTATCTCTATCAGCTTCTGAATAAAACATAATTTTGAAAACATTAAAAATGAAATAGCAAGATGGCTACCATCACTTTTAACACACAGCTGTTCTTTATATCTTTGACTGTCAGAAAGAAGGGCAGAGTGAATAATAGATTTTTTTTGTTGTTATTGGTTTTTTTTGTTGTTGTTGTTGTTTCCCCCCCTTAGGATCAGTGATTCCTGTTTTAGAGACAGAAAAAGCTCAGAAATGCAATGATACAGACAGTCACATACCCTGACTCGGCCAAATAGAAATTCTACTTTGAGCCCAAAAGCCAGGGCAGGGCTGTGCAGGCCTGTGGATGGGCACCAGGGAGGCGCTCTCACCTGTGATTAAACTGGAGATGATGAGGGGGAGGATGAGCATCTTCAGCATCCTCATGAGTATGTCCCCTGGGAAGGCTATCAACATGACCACATCAGGGTGGATAGGAGACGCCAGGCGAAGCAGCCCGCCACATACTGCCCCCAGGATGACACCTGTTGAAGGGGAAGAGGAAACCTGAATTCAGTTTTTGCCCTAGCCAAATGAATAGCTCCAAGGACTCCTGTTAGTGATTGTGGTCTTTCTTGTGTGTCTGCCTGATAGACTATGAATTCCACAAAATAAAGACATGACTTCAGGGAAACTGATTTTGACAACCAGCAAGACGCCTTTCTGTAACAGCTCCAACTATTCCAACACCAGGGGGGTTGAGACAAACAATTTCAACACTCCATAAGGAAAAATAATGACTTGACTCCAAAATCTTTTGAGATATTGACTGCATATAGCATCATAAATTCTCAGAAGAACCAACTACCAGAGGGCAGTATCTTTTCTTCTGCCAGCCAGATCTGGCAACATGATCTGGGGTATAGTGTTTTGTGTGTCTTCCTTTTTAACTGAAGACCAGAGGCACAGGACAGAAGATTTATAACCTGGGAGGAGCTAAGTTGAGCCAAGATACTGGCAGAGATGCTGTTTGCTTTACAGATGCCTACATTCCCCCAGAAAAACAGCAGGCTGTTGGAAATGGGTGGCCAACACAAGCAGCAAAAGCAAAAACTAGGATCTAGGCCACAGACCCCCTGGTGGTGAGGGAAGGAGTTGCCAGGCACATAGGTTGTGGAGGTAATTCGAGGGATATGAAGAGAGGGATGGGACTGAAGGACAGATCCTTTCCCTGGCTCTACAGGTTAAAGGAATATCATACTGTCACTCTTCTTCAAGGGTGAATGAGGTTTGATTGCACAGTGGATGGTTACAAAACAAAACAAAACAAAACAAACAACAACAACAAAAATACCCAGCCATGTCCGCGGTTCCCTGTTTCTAAGTAAACTAGGGCAATCCCCAGTTTCAATTCTAGTCCATTGGTGGCTGAGATGCTGAGATGACACAGAGAAGGGGGTTGGGGTGGGTATGAATAATGGTGAGGAATTGGGAGGATGAACTTTTTAGTAGATTCTCTGTGTAGCCTAAGTGAGAGCCAAAAAGACAAGGAGAGGATTGAAAAGAGAAACCATGTGACTGTCATTACAAGGAACCACATTTACTCTGTTTTCATTGTATCCTGTAGAAAACTCGAGACTGGGACTGCGTTGACAACTCAGACCAGAGAATCATCCCGAGATGACTTGGAACATATCTGAGCAGTGGAATGGGCCTCTTCCATGCTCCCCTCCCCAAATGTATCAGTTAATCAAAGTCAATGCTGTTTTTGGCAAAGGCCTGATCTTGTGGTCCCTTGTAGTGGGGATTTCTGGCCCTGTTGTCCTTATCTTGATCTAAGTCTTTTTCTGAATGTGATCTACTACCTGCTCTGGGCTCACCCAGAAGGTATGCTGCATTGCAGATTCCCTGGCCTCTCTCTCAACAGTTCAAAACTTAGTCTTCACAAGTATGTCTGGGGACTTGCCTGTTCACACTCACAGGAAATGTGTATGCATGCTGAGAACAGAGGAGAGCCGATGGCCAGAAATGGTTTAGGAGTAGCTTTTTGCCACGGGGGCAGAGTGCCTAATGGGGCCCCAGCAGGACACATGACTCCCTTTCCCAGAGGAGCACTCTCCGGGAAGCTAGCTCCCCTGGAAATCTGGAGAGCTCTGGAGAAATGGATGAGGGTGACCTCAGGAGATAAGGGTGTAAAGACCAGAGACACCTACCAAACACCGTTAGCGAGAGTAGGAGGTTCTTCCCCAGCTTGTCGCACATGCGCAGACCCAGGTTTCGGTGCTTCGGCTCTTCGGAGCTGAGGTGGCTGTCGTGCATGCGCACTTCCACCTGCTTGGGCATGTTGTTGGCACTGCAACGGAAATGAAGCTCATGATTAGTGACTCTCTGGGTTGAATTAATAGGGGTCTCCCGTGGGCAAAGTAGAGAGACAAAATAGGAGTATTGGGACACACTTGGATTGGGACACACACAGTTGACCTGTGGGGCACATGGACATTTTATTCCCATTACCCTGGATCCCCGCAGTAAGAAAAAGAAGCACTGTGAAAAATAGTGGGATTTCCCAGGGGTCACTCCCCTGCTGACTCTGGGAAGGGAGTTTTTCTACTCCATTTTACCGGGATAAAAATCAATAGGCCATTAAGTTTTCAATCCAGATCATGCTCCAAAATTTGAGCTCTTTCATTCTCTTGATAATAGGTGTGTGTGGTATTTTTGGGAAAGTCACAGCCCGCATTACACCAAAATCAGATGCCCCAAAAGTTCAAATCTTCCACATTCTGCACAGGTGAAGACCACATCTACTGTAACTCAAACCTTCCCTCTGTTCCAGAAAAAAAAAAAAAAAAAAAAAAAAAAAAAAAAAACATTGCATACAACTAAAAGAAAAGTTCAGTCAATTGTGGTTTTAAAAGGTTGCTTGTATAATCAGACCCTGCCAAACTGCCCCCAAGTTGAGGCCCCTCACAGTCAAAGCAAGATGGCATCATTTTGATCACTGTCATCTTTGGACTCAACTCAGCCATTTTCCAGATGCCCCATCCCAAGGGAATTCATGCTCTCTTGGGAGTCTGCTCAATAGAACCCAGGCTGGGGATGTGAGGACCTTCCTCTCCCCCCTCCCAACATACCACTCCATCATACCAGTAAGATTTTTAGAATGAAGCATGCACATTTCACTTTGCTAAACTGAGAAGGTTTCTGTTGTTGTTGTTGTTGTTGTTTGGTAGCTTCTACTTGCAAAAACCACCATTTGATGGATGAAAACAAAACACATGAGAAGATGGTAATACTACCCTTGATAGGTAGAAGGGCACATCCTTGACAGACAATGTGACAGTGCCTTCTAAGGGAGGAAGGTGTTACCCCTGCTCAGGTACTCTTACCAGGCTAGACAAGCCTTTGTGGAAGCAATGCCTGACTGCAGAGCAATGGGCCAGCCTTATCACTGATGGTGATAGGAGGAGTGTGGGATTCAGGAGTCAAGCCCTCGCTTCGGGGCTTGCTAGCTGTATGGTCTAGTGTTCATTGCGTGTCTTCCTTTTTAACTGGAGGCCAGAGGCATAAGACAGGGCTCTAAAGATCTATAATATTGGAGGAGCCAGATTGTATGATAATCCCTAGTTATAATACAGGGAAGAAAAGTGCTGATACTCCTTCATGAAAATTTAGTAAAGGGAGAGAGCTAGAGAAATGGCTCAGTCAGTAAAACGCTTGCCCTACAAGCAGGGAGACCTGAGTATGGGGCCTTAGGACTCCCACTGAGCATCTGGTTGTGGTGGCACACATTTATAATGCCAGCACTGGGGAGGCACAGACAGGGAGATCCCCACAGCTGGCTGGCCAGCCAGTCTAGCCTATTAGAGAGATCCAGACTAAAAGAGGGGCCCTGCTTCGGAAGAGAAGGTTTTCTGGCACCCAAAGAATGAATGACCTTTCCCCTCCAAATATACATGCAGATTTATACACACACCTCTGCACACACATGTGCAGCCATCCACCTGGACAACACACATATGTACATAAGCAAAATATTCAGCAAAATATGCTAGTGTCGGGGCTGCCATAGTTAGTATCTTTCTCTAGAGACCAGAAGGGAGGGACAGGGTTTATCACATTCCTGACAAAGATGACAATATGTTAAAGGACCTATCCAGTTGCCCCAGCATTCCAACAGGACATTGAGAATTTAGCTCAGTGCCATTGAAGCCGGAATCAGACCCACTCTCATCTTTAAAATGGGCCCAATAAGTATTGAAAGCAAACATTCTGGCAAGATCCACATGGTGTCATGAAAGCATTAGGCATCAAAACAGCCGCGGTAAAGTGGAAACACGCAGACATTAGGTTCACATCTGCACAAAACCCTGGAAGGATCTGGGTGCCTGTCACACACATTTTTTTTTCCTTATATAAAACGGCTGCTTCCTTAACAGCTTGCTTTTTCGCCTGTGACAAAAATGCCCCGGAAGCCCTGAATCAAAACAGCCACATCAAAGCGGCAGCATCAAGATGTCATGAGTCCATAATTTCTTGGAACTCAGCAGATGTCCCAAGCTTCTGAGAGTTCGTGACATGTGCATGTGCAAAGGAAGTTTGAACATATAACTTTATTTACTGGTATTATTATTACGGGGGCACCATGGCACTCATGTGGAAGACAGAGGACCCCCTTCCAGGAGTCAGTTCTTGCCTTCCACCACGGGCTCTGGGGACTCATCTCAGGTTGCTGAGGCTGACCAATGACCTTTTTACCCAGTGGGCCATCTTGCTAACACAGAAGAGAATTTAAAAACTAAATCGGAGCCTCAGTGGCAATCAGGGATACAGGGGTCTCCCCGAACTATCTGCAAAAAGTTCTGTACAAGCCGAAGCAATTGTTGCATGGCTCCGACTGCGTGGGGAGCCTGAAAGGGAGAGATTCTAGAAGCATCAAGACCAAAGATGATTACATATGATTGCTGAGAGCTGCTTCTGAGCCTACATCCCTTTAGAACTCATGCATGCTCTGGTTACTAGGAAAACGGCATCAATACCGAGTAACATGCATGGATTTGTTGACTGTTCTCCATTCGTCAGACACTGCTCACTGGCGGGTGCCTCTGCCAGTGGATTGGACTGTAATTACCTGCTTCTCATCTGGACTGCATGGCTTGCTTCCAGGAATCATAAGGAACTATGGTAAAGCCAGGTTTGAGAAGGCATAAGGGATGTTCAGGAAAGGTCGCTTGGGTAGGGGGCGGGGACTACTTCCTGACTGGGATCTTAAAGGGTGGATTTTAACTTAAATCCCTGCATCTTTTGCCAGTTTATGAACCCTGAGAAAGCAAGCCTGTGAGTTTCCATATGAGCATTTGTTAAAACAAATCATCCCTAAAAGATGCCCTGCCTTCTCCTGGGATGGAAGCCTTTCTACAGATGTCAGCAAACACACTGTTTTGGCACCCTCTCACCGTTCTTGCCTTCAGTCCTCGAATTTCTCCTGAGATCACAGTATAGTCCCCATTCTGTGAGAGCTACTGAAAATAGTGCAGTAAATAAAATAAACCCGGATATAAAAGCTCTTGCTCTCATAGTGTGGTCATGTAGTGGGAGAAGGAACAAGTGTCTAAACTTACTGCAAGTGGTGGTGGCACTGTGCAGAAGTAAAGACAGTATGAATACATGATTTTATGTCAAGTGAGTTTATGTCAGGGCAGCTTTCATAATTAGGGACACGTGAGCATCCTCCACCTGGAGAAAATGTGGAGCCTCTTTGAATTAATTCTGAAATTTGTTCACAGCTTAGAAAGCAAGTGGAATAAATACAAGATGGCCACCTGTACAGCTGCCCTAGAAGCTAAAACTCCCATCAGCTAGAACCACTTATATCTTAATTGTTGGATTTTAGCCTAGCAATGATTCAGACAGATGTCAAATAAGTGATGCTGGGGCCTCATACCATCGTGAATGTATATGAGTGTATATGTTCTATGGATATCCCTGTTCCTACTGAGACATATGGCTATGAGAAGGAGGGAAGATGGACAGACAAAGGCCCAATATCTCAGCAGTGTAAGGGTTTGCTTCCAGGTCAATGAACAGAAAAGGCAGGACCTGATCTACGCAGTTCCCCTAGGTCCACACAGTCACTTCAATTATGTGTGTCCATTCTCTTGTTAATGTCCACTCGCTGTGCAAACAGAACAGGGTGATGATGACTTCAAACACTAAGGCAGGGAACTGAGGTACACCAACTCCACAGTGCCAAGTTGAGTTGGCGTATCCCAGTAATTCATCACTTTTACCCCAAACCCTGAGTTAGAGCCTCTTTTCCTACTTGGGTATATCCTGGAAGAAGGAGCAGGCCATAAATTCCAGAATAGTGGAGGCTGGCTTAGCCAGACCCTCTCCCCTGCTCTCCACTGACCAACAATGTAAGGCCACTTGACAAGACAGGTGGGGGCGGGGGAGAAAACAAAACCTTCACAATAAGCTTCCAATTTCTTTTAACCTTAGATTCTCCACTGCATTATGTAAACAGCTGTTGATTTTGCAGTTGTTACCCAGATCCTTCTCACACACAAGCACGCAAGTCCTGTTTCAACGGCGAATTCAGCTTATTGTGCAAATTGTGCTCCGTGACTCAAAGGGAATGCATAATTGAGCCACGCTAAGTTTTCTCTGTACCTGCTTTTCATTAGCACTTGATTTTCCCCACTCTGCCAAGGGCCTCTAATAACAGGCTCTTAGTTGTGGTGTTGGATTCCAATTTCCTGCTGCACACTCTCGTGTCACCTCCTGTGGCGCCAATTCTTTTTTTTCCTCCCTCGTGCTCTCACTGAGGTGGCAAGAAAACATTCTCCCAGGAAGCCTGCATCGACTGGTGGGTTTGGCCTGGAGGTTGCGAAGTCTGCAACGTATCTTTTCTCTGTCCCATCCACCGCCTCTTCCCCTCCACCCCTCTGCCCAAGTCCAACACCGGACCTAAGGGCCTGGGAAACACAGTGGGGCACAGATGTCCCCTAATCACCTCCCTGGGAAGCTGACCTGTGAAAACAAAAAATAATGCTTGTTGGGGGCTTTTCCCTTTGTGCTTCTGCTAGTGTATGCCCACCTGAGTGCTACGGAGCAGTGAAAATAGGTAACATTGTGCTCCAGTAAAGATTCCCTAGCTCCCAAAGGACACTCCATTCTTGCTGTAAACGAACCGAAACTGGTATTTTTTGACAGCATGCAAGTCCCTCTATGCTTGCTGCATCCTATAAGGCCTAGGTAAGCCATGTAGTAGGAGGAGGCTCATTGGCCAAGACGTCTTTCTCTGACAGTTGCTGCATCTTCCCAAATGCTGCACATGTCACCTAAAGGCTT